CCCGCCGCTCGGGGAGACGCCGGCGGCCGGGGAAGAGTCGCCCGTGGACCGGCGAGCGGCACCGGGCGGGAGAACCGGGGCGGTAGGGCAGCGCTCGGCCCCTCACCCCCTCCCCAGGAAGGAAGAGGGAAGGGACAGTTGGGTCCCCCCCCCGGCCCCTCTGCCACTTCCCAGTAAACATGGTAATTCCTTCTGCTTTCCTCTCCTTTCTGCTGACCTTCCCCACTCGTTGCCGGCCCCCGCCAGCACCTGCGGCCCCCGGCCCTCCCGAGCACGGGGTGGGCATCGGGAGCGATGGCGGAGGTCGGGTGCGAAGGCGGAGGTGGCCCATGGCCACTGGGGACAGAGGTGGCCCTTGGCCACTTGGGCAGGGGCGTGCGGGGTGGCAGCCCGTGATGCTTAAAACTCCCCTGCAAAGTTTGGCAGGGGGATGGGGTGCTGCAAGCGGGTGCCGCTGCATGAAGTGTGGCGGGTACGGGATGCTCGGGGGTACGGGATGCTCGGGGGGTCATCCCTTGGGCTGGCCATCTCGGTTGTCACCGCAGCCATCACAGGCCGTTGCCCCGGGTTCCCGGGCGATGCTGTGCTGAGCACTGGCCTCCCCCCTCCACGGGGCTGGGGGCTGTTTGTCAGGAGTGTTTGCATCGTGCCCTGCCAAAGTTGCTGACAGCGAGACAGGGAGAGGAATTGTTATTCAGGGCTGGTCCTGGCGCTCCAAACTCTCTCCTTCCTGAGCAGGAGGGAGAAAGAAGATGGAGCTGAGTCACCCTGTGGCTTTGGGTAGGAGTTAAACAACTTTACAGCACCAAAAACACCAAAGCCCAGCTCGTCTTGTTGGTGTAAACCACTTTAAAAAATATGGGTATTCGGGGAGAAATATCAATCTCTATTTAACAGCACTTTGGCTTATTAAAATGGAAATAGCTTTGCAAATGTAAATCTCCTTATGCTCTCTAATGCCTTTTGTTTCGGGTCTGTGCTCTCTCCCAGCTGGCGGAGGGACGGGGGCTAATTGGTTGCTTTTGGATTTCTAACGGCTCCGGCCCGGCCTCAGCTTCCCCAACTAACGCGGTTACCCCAAACCCCCCCTCCCCCGGCGATGAAGTGCTTTGTGACACTCAATGAAAACGTTTTTAGTCAGTCCAGGCCAAACTACTCCCCAGCACGACCCAGGCTGCGTCTGGTGCCTCCATCAGTCGGTTCTCTCCTGCTGCTGGCTCACGCTGTCCCCGCTGCTGGATCAAGTCCTGGCCTTTTTATTCCATTGACAGGGGAGCGGCTTTGTTTATTCAGTCTGTCCGTCCTCTGGCGCGTCCCTTTGCTGTGGGGTTTGGAAGATTTTCCTTCCCCCTCCCCTGCAGCAGGGCTGTCTCTTCCTACAGACACCCCGAGTTTATCCCAGCCCATTTACCCAAATTCCAGGCGTTTCTCCCCAATTGCCAAAGTGCTGGACTGGGCCATGCTGGGGAGCTGGGCTGTGTGTGCCAGGAGAGGCTGCTCTGTGGTTTGGGGGGACGGTGTTGTGAGAGATGGTGGGTGTGGGATGGGGTTTCTGGAAGCGTGTGCCTTGGCCCCGTTGGACTGCACCCCTCTGCCCCGGTGTCACAGCCAAGCAGGGGATGGCCATCTTTGGGGCCACCGGTTGCCCTGCAGCCACAGCCTGCCCAGAGCTGAGCCCTGGTAGCCCCAGTCTCGGGGAAACTGGCTTCTCTTTCTGTTTTCGTTTGCTTTTTTATCAGTGCCCCATGAGAAGAGTTTAGTTTCTCTGCCCCGGTGTCACAGCCAAGCAGGGGATGGCCATCTTTGGGGCCACCGGTTGCCCTGCAGCCACAGCCTGCCCAGAGCTGAGCCCTGGTAGCCCCAGTCTCGGGGAAACTGGCTTCTCTTTCTGTTTTCGTTTGCTTTTTTATCAGTGCCCCGTGAGCTCAGCTGAGAAGAGTTTAGTTCGGTGTTGAGAGAGTTGGTTGCACGTGCCAGGGCTGTGCAAGGGTGACTCTGGGCAGTGGCTGTGGGGCAAACAGAGGTCCATCTCTCGTGGCAGCACTAGGAGCTGCACGGATCCCCCTTTGCTGTTGCAGGCAGCGGCTCCTCACCTCTGTGCTGGGACAGGGAAGGCACCAAGCTCAGTGGTTCCAGGCAGAGAGGTGGCAGATGCCCAGCCAGATTTGGTGGTCAGGAGCTTGGCTTTACCCTGCAGTGAGGCTTTTCCAGAGCAAGGTCTCCCATCCCTCTTAGGGAGAGCCGATGCCCTGGTGTGCAAAATGAGATGAGAGAAGATGGGTTGTCCAACGGTGGGAAGCCTGGCAACAGCCTTGCAGATCATGGCCCTGAGAATGGTCTTGCTCTCCTCCTGCTCCCCCTGGCTTCTCCTGGCAGGGCAGGAGGTCTCTGTGTGGAGATACGGAGAAAAAGTCAAGAAGAATTAACCAAAGCGTGACCGCAAAGTGCTTTAGCTAAAGAGCATTAAAGCTAATTAAGCTGAATTAACTGAAGCCACTTTGTCTCTATATGGGCTTCCAGGCCAGGGATTAGCTTCCTGAAACTAATTCCCACCTTCAGCTAATCCCACCTGACTTCCTGGGTGCCTGGGCAGGAGCACGGGGACAACGGTGAGCTGTGGCTGCCCAAGGCACAGGATGTGGCCACTGCCTCGGGAGGATGCTGGTCCCTGTGGCTGCTTCCCACCGGCTGCTTGTGACACTGGGGTCCCTCCACCGTGAAATCCGGAGCCCAGCCCCAGGTGATGAGCTTGGCTCTGGCCTGGGCTGCAGCTGGTGGTAGAGCTAAGGGCTCCTCTCTACCTGGTGAGCGGCAGAGGTAGCCCACACCACACTCTGCAGGAGGAGGATGAGGAGAGACATCCCGCAGCAGAGCAGCAGGTCCCCAGCCAGCCAGGCTGGGCCTGACCCCGCACCAACTCAGAAACCTGCATCTCTTTCCAGCAGAAAAGGTGCAGCACCCATTCCAGCAGAAAAAGTGCCATTCACCCACCCGCCCCAGCTTGATTTGTTGTTCATCTGAGCCTCTCCTGCAGAAATATCCACCAAGGAGCTGGAGAAGTCTCTGTCTTTCCCACTCGCTGAGGGGCTGCTTTTGGCAGCTCTGCCTGTGGTCCCCCCCAGCACCGCCTCTAACGCAGCTGGGATTTAACGGGAGCCATCCCATGGCTTCCCCCCCTTACCCTCCACACCAGTCGGGTCTGCACAGCTGATATCTCCCCCAAAGCTGGGAGAGCAGACTGGGAACCACCAGTTGACATGTGGCACGAAACCAGCATCCTCAGCGCAGCCTGGAAGCGGCGCCGGGGAGGGGGCTGTAACCCGGTGGAGCGCTTCCCAGAAAAGGCTCGGAGGACTCCTTTTGAGTTCGGCGAATTCGGCGAGTCTGAACCCAAACACCCTATCCATCTTCAGATGTTTGTCCTTCCTCCCATCCGCTGCATTCTTGCAGGGAGCTGCTGAGGCCAGCACATCCCCACGCTCTGGCTCGCCTTAACCCCTTGGCTGCTGCGGCGGCTCCTCCGCCTCCGCACGGCCGGCGTTCCCGAGCGGGGCAGCAGGCTGTGCTCAGTCTCATCTCAGGCTCCTTCAACCACAGCCCAACGCTGGGAACCAGACCCGGCCGTGCTCTTACGCCCTACATCCGTTTCCTCCCCAGTTTCCAGCCCAGGAAGGTTTGCAGCTCAGTGGTGTCGTCAGTGTGGGTGTACCAAGGACCAGACAGCGTGGGATGGTGGGCACGTGCCCCATGGGGGGTGATGGCATCCCATTGCGGGGCCGCTCTCCCCACCAACGATGCTTTCCTTCCGCAGGACGCCGGGTCGCTGGACGCGGCAGTGCAGAGTGCTCTCCAGGCCCTCTACCCCCCCTTTGAAGCCACGGCCCCCACGGTCCTGGGCCAGGTGTTTCGGCTACTGGAGACCAGCTACCGGGGAGATGGGCTCTGCTGCCTCCTCCAGTTCCTCATCCCAGCCAAGCGCCTCTTCGAGCACGTGCGGCAGGCAGCCTGCGTAAGCCCACACATCCCCCATGCCTCAGTGCCCTGTGTCCTGATCCTGGCCATGGGGGCTTTGCCCTAACGCGTGACACCCTGCCAGGCTGCAGGCTCCCCCTCTGCATGTCCCTGTCCCCTCCCAGCTCCTCGGGATGGCTCCAGCACAGACCCTGGCACATGCAGTCCCCAGGATAAGAGCAGGAGGACTCCCAGGTCACCTTGTCTCACCCCTGGAGAGGCTCCAGCAGGGGTTTCCCCTCTGTTAGCACGTGGGGAGCACTCAGCAGCCAAGGAATGGCCGTGGGCTCGGGGTGGGTTTGCAGGACCCTGCTGTGGCTCAGTTCAGGGACATCCCACTGGTCACCAGGCTCTTCAGTCCCCATCATAAGAAGCGCAGAGGTGGTGGGCAGTGAGAGCACAAGGGGCTGGCCGGGAGGGTACGGAGCCGGTGGGAGCTCTCACTCACACCCTGTGTTCTTCCTCCCTCCCAGGCTCCCTACTTTAACTGCATCTTTCTCCACGAAGGCTGGCCCTTGTGTCTTCACGAGAAAGTGGTTGTCCACCTCGCCCCACTCAACCCCCTCCTGCTGCGCCCGGGGGATTTCTACCTGCAAGCGGAGCCCTGTGAGGAGCACTCGGCGCGCATCACCGTCAAGCACCTCTCCCACGACCTGCGCACGGTGGAGGAGACACCCGTCCCCGAGGCCACCTACGCGCTGCTCTTCACCAACGAGTGGCTGGAGGAGATCAACGGCAACCGGGCTGGAGCTCCCCTGCACACCTGCCTGGTGGCCACCGAGAACGGCATCACCCCGCTGCCATGGAGCAAGATTGCCACGCCAGAGTTCATCGACAAGCCCAAGGCTGATGCCGACAGTGTGCCCGCGGGCACCTGGCATGGTCCTGCTCCTGAAACTGCAGCTGAGCCAGCAGCACCCAGCACACCCGTGCCCCAAAGCGACATCCCAGCGCCCTATGGCAATGTTGCAGGCACCATCCCGGGCTGCAAGGTCTCCTCTCGGAAGTCCAACCAGGGAAGATACCCAGGACTGATCAAAGTGGACCAGACTGGGCCACGGAAGAAGCCAGCCATGCTGGCCATGCCCAGCCTCTACGAGATCATTAGCCAGAACCTGGAGGGGGAGTATGTGGACTTGCTGGAGCTCTCCCAGGACCAGCTGGACCTCCTGTCCAGGTCCCTGCCACCTGCCCGCCCAGTGGGGCCGATGGGGGCTGGGGCCAAGATGACGCTCCCCTGGGCAAACGGGGGGCCGGAGGCAGATGCCTGGCCCTATGGGGGGGCACTGAGCTCGGAGGAGGGTCCCTGCACCCCGTGCCTGGGGAGGAAGCTGAGCCAGGAGCCGGGGCCACACGGCCCACGGTGCCGCCACCGTGACTCCTACCTGGCGGCGCTGCAGAACCCGGTGAGCTTCGGCCCCGGGCTGATGGCAGCCATCCTGGAGGAGCCGGATGGCCCCAGCCCCGGCCCTGAGCCACCCCCTGCCACCCACTGCGAGACCCCTGCACAGCACGGGAGTGGGGCTGGCAGCCCCACTGTCCTCACCCGCCGTCCCCGCCGAGCCAGTCCCGGGGCGCAGGTGGAGGCTCTGGTGCGGCAGGGCAGCCCCCGGCTCCCCCCAGGCTCCAGCCACAAGTTCTCCTTCCTGAAGGGCCCACGGCTCGGGGCGGCCCCTGGGGATGAAAGAACCACCAGCCAGCATGAAGGAGCCTGGAAGAAGATGGCTGCCATCTACTCGCCCAGGATGGGCAGAGCCAGGCCAGCTGGGAAAGGTACCATCCGAGAGGGGTTGTGTGGCCTACCCAGGCTCTGCGGCGACTTCTGCATTTCTCTGCCTCGTTGCCTATCACCAACTCCTCTCTCTCTCTCCCCGTGGGCAGGTACGGATGCAGCAGCCACTGCCCCCGCGGAGGAACAGTCCCTGGAAAGCACCAGCTGCAAGAATGGTCCCTCCATACCCAACACGGGCAGCCCTGGCCGGGAGCCGCTGGGCTGGCAGGACCTGCACGCCGGGCTGCTGCGCTCGGGCATCGTGTGCCTGCCAGGTACTGCCAGCACCACGAGACCCTCGGGGGGGGACTTCAGGAGAGACCTCTGGAGGGAAAACACCGTGCTGCTGGAGAGGATTTTCTGGAGGAAGGTTTCAGGCCTTTGCTGGAGGCCAGAAAGCCCCCAAGTGGAAAATTTCCTTTCAGCTGGGCAAAAAAAATTAAAAACATAAAAACAAGCAGTCTGCTCTGAGCAGCTGCCCTGGTTCCCAGCTGCACCGAGCCCTCCCACACCATTCCTCACCAATGAAGCTGTTCAGCTTTTAGCTGCCAAACACTAAACATTTGGCTTCTTCCCTTTCCCAAGCGCTGAAAAACAGCGGCAAAATCCATCTTTTTTTAAGGAAAAACATCGCCAGCAGCTCTTCCCTGGCATTTCCAGGGGCGGTGTTCTGCCGAGAGCCCTCACGGGCTGGCACTGCCCCTCCGGAGGGGCTGGGGGAGGCTGATCTGGGGTGGCACAGGGGTGACACCGTAGTGGCCGCTGTGCTGCCACAGTATTAACCTGGGCTGAGCCCCCTGAGCCATGCTGGAGCAGAGCCCCCTCCCGCACCCCTTGGCAGCCATCCCTGCACGGTGAGCAGCAGTGAGGCTGATGGGACCCCCGGCCCCTCCGGGGGGGTGCTCAGCACTGGGGTTTGCAGCCGTTGGGTGGCTGCAGGAGGGGTGACTTGTCCCTTTCCCCACAGGGAGCTCGGACAGGCTGGGCAGAGCCCTTCTGCAGGTGACCACCAGCGGCAGCGCTTGGGGGGCTGCATGGTGCTCGGCTGCCGAGTTGGGGAGGCTCATCCTCTACCTCTGCTCCCTCCCCAGGTAAGGGCCAGGAGGACTTGTCAGGACCTCCCCCCCAGCTGCTTCCCAGCTCAGTGCTCCTGGGCAACCAGTTCCTGCCTGCCCTTGCCCTGCTGCCCGTGGGCACGGAGCCACGGGGGAGGGCTTCGAGTGGGTCCTGCCTGAAGGGGGGGACCCCCACTTCGTGTTCCATGTCTAACTAGTGTGATCTGCCTCCTGCTTTATTGCCCCTTGCTAGGCGAGACGCGAAGGATGGTGGGCTCACCGTCGTGGTAGATGCCAGGAAGCAGCCACCCGCTCCTGCTCTGTTCTCAGCCCTCCGCTCCATCCAGGTACACCGGGCTCTGCGTGCCTCTGCCATGGACTTGCTGGAAAGGGGGGTCCCTGCCTGGGAACAAACACTGTCACCCTTTGGGGGGGTCCTTCAGAGCCTCCCCTGTGCCCTCTGCACAGTGCGATTCCCCCGGCTGGCAGCATCTCCTCCAGCAGCCCCCGGCGCTGCTCTGCCTGAGGCCATGGCTTTTATCTTGCTCACAGGTTTTAGCCATAAACACCGTGGTGCAGATTTACCGAGGCAGCTCTCGGCTGCACAGCAATGTGCTCATCTAGAAAACCCACATCTCTCCCGCTGCGTCCTCCCCCACGGCCAGTCCTACCTCCTGACTCCCTGTAGGTCTGGCAGCACTGAAACTGCCACTTTGTTCCCAAAGTTGTTGATAAACGTCTAATTTCTGAGACATCTGCAGAAACACAGAGTATCCCCCACCAGGACACAAAGACCGTGTTCCCCCCAGCCCCTGAACTGAGCTCACACTTGGCACTTCCATCTCTCCAGCTCCTTGAATGCCAGCTGCAAGGCACCCACAGTTTGGGACTAAAGGCCCCCTTCCCAGCCCCACAGGATCTGTCCTTGTCCTCTGCCCCTCACCACAGAGTGTCCCCAACCCCTTCAGCATCCCAGTAGCTGAGCTCACCTGGAAATCAGCTCCGCAGTGACGGTCGATTCATCCGGGCAGAGTTTCCACGCCAGTGCCAAGGCAGTGCCATGGGAATGCCCTGTGCTGTCCTGAGGGCTGTGAGGTCCTCCCCGCTGCAGTGCCCTGATCCTCTCTGCCTGCTCAGGGCTTGCTTGCAGCCTGTCCAATAAATCCTGTGCCAACCCCAATGCTTCCTGCGTGGAAAAGCATTGCTGGTGCAAGCGAAGAGTTTGGCCACAAGGCTCTGGGCCGTTCTGCCGGGGAGCTGGTGGACGAGGATGAGGTTATGGGCTGAGTGACCTGTTTCTTTTTCCCTCACCAGGGAGCTCAGGAGCTTTTTTCTTTGTAAAAAACTGACTTGGGCAACCAAGCCTCTGGTATTACCATGGGTGGCTGGGGGTGCACTGTGGGGTTTGCTGTGGTGACTCTTCCCTGCCTCCTGCAGAGCATCTCGCCGGGCTGCATCCACACCGTGCTGCTGCTGGCCGAGAAGGAGCTGGTCGCCCACCGCGAGAGGCTGCCCGGGGTGCAGGTGAGCCTGTTCCTGTCCCCTCCTCCTGTCCCTGCACTGTTTCCCATAAGGAAGAGCAGAGCCAAGGTGAAAGGAGCCTCCTGCCTCAGGGGACCCTCCATCCCCTCATTTGGAGACCCCAGTTCCCCTGCTCAGGGACCCTGGGCAGAGCAGCACCTCACTGGGGCAGGTCCCCCCCACACTGGGTGCAGGGTGAGGCCCTTGGGGTCGCTGGGCTGCGCGGGTGGGCGAGCAAAAGCTGCCCCAGGGCAGCCAAGTGCTTCCCCAATCACCACCAGTGGCTGGACACAGGCCCTGGGATAATAAATCTTAACTCCTAAGGCTTTATTGTTCTTCTAGTGCTGCTCAGCTTAATTAATATAATGTGAAATATTAATGAGCTTGATCACCTAGCTTGGCTGCTGTGGCAGATTATTGCAATCCTGGCCATCTCCCGTGCATTCCAACGCCGTGGAGCTGCTGGGAGATGCTCTGAGCAGAGCTGTCACACACGCAGCGCTCCTGGGGCCACAGCGCTACACGGGATAACAGGGGAGGGTGGCTTGGGGCCAGGAGGGGGTTATGCCCCCTGGTCCAGGCTGTCCCTGGGGATGTTTCAGGGAGGGACCTGGCAGGATGCCGCAGCGCTCACGATCCCTGTGCCCCGCAGGTGGAGACCCTGGCATCGCTGAAGGCTCTGGGCCGCTACGTCGACAGCTCCCAGCTGACGCCGGAGCTGGATGGCACCTTCCCCTACTGCCACGGCGAGTGGGTTCAATTCTTCCAGGTGTCTGTTATCACACCATTTGCCATCGCCTCACACCCCCATGGTGCCCTTCCATCCCCACCGCACCTTCCCGTGTCTCACAGACATCCCCGGAAAAGCAACAGGAAAGCCCAGGAGAGGGGAAGGAAAAGGAGAGCTCTGAGTGCAGGAGGGCACCCCCGTCCTGTCTGCTCCTGCCTGTAACTGCCCATCCACCTCCATGTTCCCTGTCTCCTTGGCTTTAACCTGGTGCCCCGTGGTATTCCCTGCTCTGGCCTGGCACTCCTCCTCCTCCTCCTCCTCACGGGAAGGCTGCCCTCCCACCCCAGCCCCACTGACCTGCTCTGTGTCCCACCCGCAGAAACTGCATCCCTTCACGGCCGGCCTCAGGCGGGCATCGGAGCTGCTGCAGAGCTGCATCCAGGAGCTGCGGAGTGCCGACGCGCTGGCGGGGACGCAGGTAACGGGCAGGTTGTAGGGCTTTCCAAAGAGTCCATCTGCAGTCCAGCACCCAGCCACGTTTCTCCCCCAAAGCCTGGGTGCAAACACTCCTGGACTGGCAGCCTGTGGCTGTGGGGCTGTCCCCTCTTTGCTCATCCTTTGGGGTGCAGCCCCACATGCCCGTCCCATGCTGGCTCAGGAGCTGCCGGGTGAGCCCCGAGGTGAGATGCATGTCTAACCCTCTCTCCGCAGGATGCAGCCGTGTGCATTGAGAGGCACCAGGAGCTGATGCAGAGGGTGCTGAGCGACCCGCAGCTGGTGCATGTGCAGCGTGAGGGGGGTGCCGTGCTGGCCAGGCTGCGCAGGGAGGCCGCCCGCCTCAGCGCCTCGGCCAACGTCAGGTAGGAGGGGGGCAGCTTCACCGGGAAAGGGGTGCCAAGGCTGGGGACCTCCATCCTTCTCCACTGGCCAACAGGGCCACCTCCCCAGGGACAGCCCGGTCCCCACGAGCATCTTTCCAACACGCCCTCCTGCCCTCCAAACTCCCTCCGAGGATGGAGCTTGTGTCTCAGACAGTCCTTTGCAGCATTTCCAGGCTGGGGAAGGTGCACATGTCCCCGAGGGGTGTCATGCCCCGGGGCCAGGCTCAAGGGCTGCTCAGCGAGCCCTCCAGCGAGCCCTCCAGGCTCATTTCAGGCAAAGCCACTAGATGGGGCCAAGCCCCGGCGATGCCGCGCTCGCCCGACGGCCCGTGCAATGTCGGCAGCACTAATCCCACTGCTCCCTGCTCTTGGCTGGGCCAGGCCACACCACACCAACCACCAACGCTTTCCCGAGCCATGTTCCCTGACCTCCAGCTTGCTCCGTGGGATGGGGAGGTGCCAGGGTGCTCTGCTGCAGCATGGAGCCCATGCGTGCCAGACACGGAGCCCTTGTGTCCCAGGTGGGCTCTGAGGATGCATGAGGCGAGTGGGGTCTCTTGGTCAGCTCCTGACGTTGGCACCTGCAGGGCTCTCACCAGCCCCACGTGCTGGGTCGTTGCCCATCCATTCCTTCGGCTCCTGGCTGCCCAGATGGCCACATGCCAGTGCCCACTTCCAGAGAGCTGCCCCATCCAGAGACTCCTGCCCACTGGAGAGCTCCCTCGGCCAGTGTCTTCAGGAAGAGCCAGTAGCTCACCCGGTGGCACCTGGCACTGATAGTCCCTCTCCTCTCCAACCACCAGGACCAGCATGGAGTTGGCTGAGGGGCTCTACAGCCAGCTGGAGGAAGAGCTTCACAACCTGGTGTCCCAGTCCAACAGCTGCCTGGAGCACCTGGAGTTCCTCCAAAAGGTCCGCGAGCTTGAGGCTGAGTTCAGCAAGGTGAGTGGAGCGTCCCTGGGGTGCCACAAATTAAAGCTGTCCTCTGTGGTGCTCCTACAGCTGAGTGTTTCAGGCGCATTTCCTTCATTTTTGATGAAGAAGGAAGCCCAGAAAATAACAGGATTGCCTGAGCTTTGATTTTCATTATGGAGCGGCTCTGTGTGTAACCACGCCTGGGATGGGATGCCCTGGTTGGGGAAGGAAGGGGAGGTGCTGTGGAAACGCTGGTGGCCAGTTCTGCCTGACCCTTGTCCCTGCCTGACCCTCGTCCCCGCTCTCTCTTGCAGCTGGGATGCTGGCTGGACGGGGAGGCAGCGGCACGGCTGCGGGAGATGGGCACCAAGGAATGGAGCCTCGACACCTTCCAGGGCTCTAACGAGCAGTTTAACGAGTTCTTCGTCCAGGCAACAGTATGTTTGGAGGGGGCTTTTCTGTAACGTGCGTCCCCAGGGTATCAGTGCCAGCAGTGCCCTTAGGTGTCTCCAGTCCCTGCCTGGCGCTGAGCAGAAACTGAAAATCCCAAATTAGAAGTGTTCCAACATCATTACAAAGTTTTGATACTATCAGCCCAAATTCCCCAGGTTTGGAATGAGGCTTCTGGGCAGAACTGTCCCCAGGCTGGCTGGGTCACACTGCAGGGTTTAAGCCTAGCTTTGCCAGGGGCTTTGGGCAGCCCTGCTCTGGTGAGGGGGGACAGTTGTGCAGCTCTTTGGTGTGCTTTGGGCTGGGGCTGCTGTTTCCAAACCCTCCTGATCCCCACCCTTCGCAGCCCCCTTCCTCCCGCAGGGCTGAGCTGCACAACCTGGGTGTCCATCAGCCAGCAATTAACGTAGTGACAAGGATCCCATACCCCTAGATATGGAGGGTCTTTAATTACCTGCACTGCACGGAGGGCAAATTGACTGCACTCAGGACAGGATGATGCATTTTGAGCAGAGTCGAGACAGAGCAGAGACTTGGAGAATCCCCATTCTCTCTGTTTCTTCTCACTTGCCCAGAAACATTTCTCATGTAGCTTTGATAGCGATGCTGAGCGCTGAACCTGCAGAGACCCTCACCCTGCAGGGTGTCCCAGCGCAGCAGCTCAGCGCCGTTCCCCGAACACGGAGCTTGTTCCTTCCTGCCATCCCTGCAGGCTCAGTACCAGCACGGCCTGGCCCTGTGTCAGGAGGCGGCCGAGGTCCGGGACGCGGCGTTCCCCGAGGCAGACCCCTTCCAGGTGGCTGCAGCTCTTTTCCGGACCAAGCTGATGGGCTTCTACAGGCAGGTGGAGCAACGACGGGCAGAGCGGGAGCTGCTGCAGGAGCTGGGCCGGTTCTCCAGCAAGGTGGGTGTAGGGGCTGTCCTCCCACAGGACCCGGTGCCAGCTGGGCAGCCGTGAGAACAGCCACTCTTGGCTTTCTTTCCTAGATCACGGGGCTGAAGCTGGACTGCAGGCAGTGCTCAGCTCGGGTGAAGCGCGGGGAGGGCCAGGCGCTGCAGTGCCTGCAGAGCTCCTTCCAGAAGTTGTCGGTGGAGTTCGCCCTGGAGAAGCTGCAGGAGATGAAGGCTCAGCTGCACAGGATGCAGAGCAGCCAAGGGTTGGCAGCCTGGACCGAGGCACGGCACAAGTACCAGGAGACTCGGCAGGTCCTGGAGGAGATGCTGGCCGAGCTGCAGGAGGCCTGGGGAGCACAGGCTGATGGGCAGAGAGACACCTTCAGCTCCCCAAGCTCGGGGTCTGCAGCCCCTTGCAAGGAAGCCCCAGTTTGCAAAGCAACCACCAGCCCCGAGCCAGCAGCGTTGGGGGGCCAGGGGGTGGTGGAGCAGCCAGAACCCACCACACAGGGGCCAGGACAGCCTGGGGGACCAGGACAACCCCAGGCCAGCAGCGTTCCTGGCCCCACGCTGGGTGCAAAGCCGAGCTCCCCACAGCCCCGCTGCCAGCAGGGGCCAGAGGGTGACCATGTCTTTCACCGCCAAGTCTCTGCTGACACCTTCCTCCCAAAACCTGAGAGTGGAGCCCGCTCGGGAGCTGCAGGACACCTCGCCCAGGAGCGCAGACAGCCCCTCCAGAGGCATTCCTTCACCCTGCCTGCCCGGATGCGGTTTCCAGGTTCTGATCCATCGTGTCGCAGCACTGTGCCCCACGGGACTGTCTCAGCCCCCAGCACACATGGTCCACCTGCAGATAAGCGACCAGAAGCTACCCAATACTTCCAGGTTTCCAGCCAGAGCAGCTTCTCCTCTGAAGACTCAGACTCACAGAACTCAACCGAAGAAGCCCCGGCAGCGAGCCTGGCTTTGCACCGGGACCTCCAGAGTCCCAGACCATCTTGCCCCTCTGAAAAGCTGCCCCAGATTGTTTACCTGGAGAACCACCGCACCGAGAGTCCAGCTAAAGCAAATGCCAAGTAAAACCAGTCCCTTCCAGTTGGGGCTGTTTCTGTCCAGTTGTGGAAGTCTCTATCACCAACTGGATGAGACATCCCATGCTCGGAGGTGGGATGCTGGGACCCGTTGCCCAGCCCTGGGTCCCAGAGTCCTTCAGTTCCCCATGCTTAGCACTCACCCTGCTGTGGAACGGCAATAACCCCATCACCAGCCTCATGAGGTTGGTTAATAATCTACTAGGTGTGTAGCAATCCTCACCTGAAGTGCATTTATCCTTATCAGCACCTGGGTTGCCTCAGGACATCAGTGAAGGCTCCCTGCAGTCAGCAGCTGTACTTGGAGCATCCCATGGGAGCACAAACCTGTGCTGAGGCATTTCTGCCCTCCAGCCCCCCTGTGCTCCCCCCTCTGCCAGGTGATTTTGCCATCCTCTGTGCTGCTGCTGTAGCCCTGGCTGAGCTACAGCAATGGCCGTTTTGTTCATGTGCACTCATTAACGTGGAACTAACGTTATTAATGTTAATAAACCTGAAGAGAAGCGCCCAGCATGGTCCTCATGGAGCAGAACATAAAGCCATGTCCTGCTGATAGCCGGGTGCTGGATGCTCTCCCGGGCAGCCGGTGCCACCACGAGAACCTCCCGTGCCACCTGTGTGGGATGTGGCCACAGCCTGGCTCTCCTGCCCACTGCCAGCATCTTGCTGCCGGGAGGATGGTCCTCCTCAAACCGCTGTTGGCTCATTCCTGTTGTGCTCTGTGAATGAGCCCCTCTCCCTTTTTGGGGGGTTAGAAGAAATGCCTCTGTCTCCAGTTCTCACTCCCATCCCGTCCCCTCCCCGGTACATGGGTGACCATGGTGTCATCCTGCCCAGCCTTGTTGGGAACGCACTGTCCCAAAGCCCTTGGGGATCCAGCTGAGGCTGGGTGCGACCTCTCCCATCACCATCCAAAACAGCCCTGAGGTCCCCGGGGATCCTGTCCCCACCGGGGTGTCCCGCCGAGCCGCGCCGCCCGTTTGGGCACCCGGGAGCGGGTGAAGCCAGGCAGGGGACGGGCTGTCCCGGCCAGGACCCTGCGCCACCCGCCACCCCAGGCGGCCGCATCATGAGCTAATCAAGAGACATTGTACAAAAAGCAATATCTCACGTAGGAGCCGTTCCAGAAAACCACCCTCCTCCTCCCAGCCGCGGCGCAGTCATGGCTCACGATGCTGCGCCTCAGCAAAGGGCAATTGCCCATCCCAGTGTTTGTGAGCATCACTCATACCCCCCTCAGCCTTGTTTTTGCCAAATCCCCAAGCCAAGCCCTGCTGAGCTCCCCTCTGACGGCTGCAGTCCCAGCCACCCCCCACGGCACCGCATTCCTCCTGCCCAGGTCATTAACAGCAGTGTTAACGAAGATTGATCCCAGCCTTCTCCCCAGGCGCTGCCCTGGGACCTCCTGTCTGTTGCTTCTCCCAGTCCTACCTGTTGTCCTCTCTTTACATCTCCTTACACTTCCTTTAAGCTGCATCTTCTCCAGCTCAAACACTAATTTCCCCCGTAGCACTTCTATCACTGCTTCACTTAAATCCCAATAGCTGAGTCTATCCCATTCCTTCTGGCTTAAAAGCAATTATCATAGAGGGACACCAAGGGAGGTCTGCACGACCATCCTGGGTGAACCCAGCCAGCTTTGTCCCGTTCTCCAACCAATGCCATGTCCTGAATGTCCCTGAGTTCACCCCAGCTGGGACACTTGTCCTGCCTCTTTGTGTTAGGATATTTACCTGTGCCCAACCGCCTGGCCCCGTGCCGAGTTTAAAGGGCTCCAGAAATCCCCTTCCTGTGGAGCTGATGTAGCACATAAATCCGGAGAAGAAGCAAACAGACACGCTTTCCCCTGCCTTGATGTCCCTGGGAGCCACCAGGGCTGGCTGTCCCTGCACTGGCCACCTGAGCCTGCTGGCTCCCCGGCCCCACACACGTGGCTGGAGAAGGCCATACCCAGGTGATTGCGAGAGCCAAAAATCTCCTCTACCTCCAAAAGCATTTAAAGCCTGACAGTTCCCTCGCTCAATTTTCTGCTCTACCGAGAGCTGATCTGTTGTATCACCCCGTTTCACACTCGCCTCCGCAGCGCGCTGAAGCAGCAGCACGCCTTCCAAATTCCTCTTCGGATACCGATTTTTGCCTGTCGTTTCACAGAAGCCCGTGGCTTCAGAAGCCCTCATTATCAGCTCTCGGCCACATGGGGCTGAGCTCAGCCTCCTGCGACCGGCACAGCACACACATCCCACCCTGGGCTTTGCCGGTGCTGTGCTGGGCTGGACACACCGTCCACGTTACTCATGTCCCTTGGGGAAGGCAGATGGTGCTCATCATGACTACCACAGGCATACCAGCTCCCAGGCAGGGATGTCTCTGTGGGGACCCATCCTACAGCAAGGCAGCTCCAAGCCCAGCAGGGATGGAGACCACAGGGTCTGCTGGGGCCGAACTACACCAAAACCCAGGCAGATGCCACCACCAGCCTACCCAGCATCAATGGGTGCAGAGGGTCCCCTCCCCATCACTCCTACTTTCTTACCATGCCCAGAAAAGTAGTAAATAGGCAGGTATTAAAAATGAACCACTGTTACATTGAACAAGAGCAAGGAAGAGGGATGGGAATATTATTACTGAAATAATATGGCGTGGAAGTGTTTGGGTGATGCCATCGTTGCATACAAACCCCTGCTGTCAGGCGGTGTCACTGGATAAGTATCTCCCATCCACAGCTGAGGCTGCTTTTTATCACTCTGCAACGCTCCCGGAGTCACGGCACTGCCAGGCTGTGAAGAGACAAAAATGCTAATCAATACTTTTGTCATTTTAAGAATTGATTATTCTAATTAACTCTGGGAGCCGTTCAGCCCGGCTGTGAACAAATAGCTGCTGGTACATGGGGTGGCAGCAGGATTGGGATCTCGTTTATCCCACCGTATAATTCAGGAGATGAAACCTCTCTAACGGCCACGAGTAAAACTTCATATTGATTCCAAAGTGCTTTGCTTGTTTATAGGAATAACACCTCCCAGTGCCCCAGAAGGTGTTTTATGCTTTGCTGGTCTCCTGCGCCATCTCCAGTGGAGACACGAGGTCAGAGGCTGAAATGACCCAAATCCGGGAAGGGTAGAAGTGGCAGAGACCGAGCCTTGGGCTTGACAGCCCTGTGCCGGGAAGATGTGTCTTAACTGGAGCAAGCAACATCTATTTTAGCTTCTACATTGAAATGAAAGAGGTGCTCACCAGTTTTTATTTATTTTACCTGTGTTTAAAAAGCCAGTTTCCTGGGAGCCCTTTGAAAAGGCACTCAAATCTGTGCTGCTGTTCTTCAGCATCATCACACTTGGAGTAAAGCCAGTTTCTGCATCTCAGCATCCCCTAATCTCACCTGGAGAGATTTTGGCACCTGGACTCCGACTTTGCAGGGCATCACCCCATCATCCCCATCCCTGCCGGGCTTGGTGGATTCAGACCTTGCCCTGACTGTGACAGCCAGGTCTCAGCTCCAGGACAGGCTGCCCCAATGGCAGCGAGGAGCCAGAGGTAAATCCAGGAAGATCTGAAAGTGGGATTTAAGAGAGAAACTCAGGCAAAGGAAACTCTTGGAGGGAGGCTGGGAAGAAAAGAGAATAGTCAAGTCAAGACCAAGAGGCAGCAATCCCACAGCCAGATGGATGCTCGGGGCCATACTGAGCCCCTCTTTTGCAGCACATTGAGACGAGGGTCTGATGACGATGAGCTGGGGATGAAGCAAACCCAGTGAGTTGGGGCCATTTTCTAATTTGGCCTTTCTGAGCAGCAGCAGCAGTAACAGAGATATCCACAGCATGGGTTTGAGATTCCTCCTTTTAACATCCTAATTCCTCAATAAAATGCTGGGGAGAATCAGGGAAGAAATAATTACTGACATGAATAATAAATGCTTCACATCTGCGACACCGTTCCCTGCCTGCTCTGAGCATTCAGCCAGGAGTGCTGGCACGTCCCTGGGCTGCAGGGACCTCTGAGCTGGGCTAGTGCTGGCCAGTGTTTGCCTTCACTCCAGCCTGGCATCCCAAGGCAATGGGATGCCCAAACAAACTGGTGTCCCCAGGGTGGGAAGGTGCTGCTATCGGTCTTCTCTTCTCCGCCCTGGGGGGAAGAGCCCTTTTCTCCCTCCTCCACTGTCTTCCTCAGCCAGGAAAAACTTGGGACTTTTTAAATTGCAGTTTTTAGGTTAGGGAGAGTAGCACTTCCATGGAGAAATGGAATCATCTTCCAAAACAGATGGAATTCAAATTCTTCTGAATAAAGAGGAAAAAAAAAAAAAAAAGAAAAAGGCTTTCCTGTTGTTTTTCTTTTCCCAAAAGAAAAAAAAAAGATTTTTTGCGAATCCTGAGATTAGCTGATAACAAAAGAGAGAATTTCCTGCTGCTCACTGGAGGGTGAATTGTTTCCTCAGAAGAGCCCTGTGCCCTCAGCTGCTCTCAGCCCCCACATCTGGGTGAGCACAGCTGGATACCTCCTACCAAAAAGTGTGGTTTTGCAACATTCTGCAAAAATTTTCTTATCTCCGCTGATCCTTCAGCGTGTGATTTATGACTCCAAGTCTGACCAATTAAGCTATAACCTTTCCAGAAAGGCAAGTGCAGGAGTTAATCAATGTCTTTTTCCCACCCAGGAAATGGCAAAATCATTTGTCATGGGTTGTCGGGGGGTGGCCGGTGGGGCTGGGCTGGTGGGGGTCAGGCAGTGCTGGGGTGTGGGGCACCGTGGCCAGTCCAGCCCACGGAGGGAAGGTCCCACAAGGCCCAGATAAATACCTTTTTCCAAAGGGAAAAAACTCATAAATACTATATGTGGAAGATGAGAAAACCAGCCTGGATACAGAGACGGGCCGTAGGGAAGGATGCCAGCCCCATGGAATGCACCAGCCCCACGGGGGGGACTGCCCTCCTCTTCCCCAGGGCAGCTCTTGGGGGACCTGTCCCCCCACCCGGGAGAGCAGCTGGTACTGGTTGAGCACTGAGCAGGGAGCTCCAGCCGAGGTTGACAACCGCACTCTTCCTCTTTCTCCTCCTCCTCGTCACCAGGTTCCCATCAAGTCGTGCCCTGCAGGGGCAAGAGGGATGCTGAGTTATCGACCGCAGCGAGATGGAGGGAAGAGGAAGGAAGGAACGGGCAGGGCAAGGGGTAGTGGGGTCAGGATGCCCCCAAGCAGAGCCACGGCCATACCCTGGTCCTGCACGAGGAGGAAAGCACGAATGACGGGTGGCAAGGCAAAGGCGCAAGGACAACCACAAGTGGGTCAACACAAATACCAACGGATGGGCCTCCAAGCAGTTCTGGTGCCAGCAGAGCTGCCGTGGGCCCCTTCCCGTTACAACAGCCCCCGGCGTTAGGGCTTGGCCACAAAGAGCCGCCGGCGTTTCAAAGCACAGGATGGGGACTTGGCTCACACCACAGCGGAAGCACAGTCCTGCCTGGATTTGTCCTCCTGGGGGTCAACCAAGATACACGGGTCTGGTTTCAGCAGGTAAACACAGTGAGGGCCCTTCATGCAAGAGGAAGCTGAACAGCAACATGAAGCCATGCAGCACCATCCTCGGCTTCATGAGGGTTTTTGGGAATGGCAGCAAGCAGAGATGTCCCAAAGCAGCTTGGTTATCTCCTAGATCCTGCCACGGCAGAGCAAACTCGATGGGTCTCGCCCATCCTCAAGCCAACGTGGCTGGTGCAGGGTGGTCATAAAAAAAAAAGAAAAAAAAAAAGAAAAACCAGAGAAACAAGCAATAGCAAAGGAGAACAGGAATGTTGAAACATTCACCAAAGGGTCAAATTCCGAGGGCCAAACATAGCTCCAGCCCAGTCTGAGCTGGCCAAGGCAGGGCAAGGCCAGCCCGACTGCTTTCCAAAATCCCAGCTGTGCTCTGTCCCAAGGGACTGCTGGAAAACATGAGCGTGCCAGGGGTCCGGTGGGGAGCCACCCCCGGGGAGCCACCGAGGGGACAGAGAGGTACAGGTGACCCCTGCAGGACTCATGTGTGAGTCCTGGGGAATCATACATCTTCAGGCATTTAGATCTGGACACAGAGGAACAGGAGCACTCTACACGCCAAAGCCATGGCTTGGGGAGTGCAGACCCCTCTTGTTTTCCTCCCACAAACCCCATTGGAGCTGGTCTGCAACGAAGACAGTAGAGGATTAACGGGCAGAGGTGTCTCAGAGGAACTAGAGGAACTCTGGAGGCAGGAGTGCTGGGGGGTTTCCAGCAAACTGCTAGGAAATGACACGGGGAGACTGGAATTCAGCTCACGTCAGGTTCAATCAAGTTCAGGTTGCAAAACACCATGTCACGACTGCCCCGGCAGCGGATAGGCGTCTGTCCCGCACAGCTCCGCAGCCCCCCATCTGCACCATGGGACCCCACGGCCACCAGTTTGGAAAGGCTTGACGTGGCTGGAGAATCCATCTCCCCTGCTCCCTCCTGCCGGTCCCATTGCCATGGGACAGTGGGACGGGGCTGTCCCATCCCCAGGGAGCCCTGCCAGGAAAGCCCCCTCCCAAGCAGCTCACAGCAGGCAGCAGGGAGACCCTCCTCTGACCCTGCTGAGCTCAGAAACTGAATAAATCATCCAGTGACGTGCAACAGGTTTGTGTTTTTTTAAACAGAAAGATGGACTCAGCCTAAGAAGAAATGACGGTGACACAACAAATTCCTCCTAATTGCACCCCCCCCAACTTTAGCAGCAGGTTGGAGTGCCTTTTCCAGAGAAGCCAGAGAAGCTGGTTATCAGCTGGATGACCCTTCCCTCTGCAGGGAATGCTGCTTCAGCACTCTGCACTTCTCAGGAAGAGCCTCTGGCTCAGTGTGTGCCAACATCGATGAGCCAGACCCTGGGACCTGCACATCCCTCCTCCCTCAGCGTGTGCCAACATCGATGAGCCAGACCCTGGGACTTTCACATCCTTCCTCCCACCACGTGAGCAGAGGATGCTTCGACCCCGTGGGGCTGCATCTGCCAGGTGCCCTGTGGCTGTGACACCGGAGCACACCGGGCTCCCTGGACCTGGCTGAAGGGACCAGGTGGAGAAACAATCTGCTCTTCCTTGGAAAAGCCCACTTCTCCTCCCAAAGGAAAGGCTGCCCAATCCCTGCTGCTGCCCCCTCCTGCCCTGCCAGCGCTGACCGGGAACAGGAGCCCCTTTGTGCCAGCTCCCAAAGCCCCACCACGGGAGCCCCGGGGCAGCACGGAGCCCCGTCTTGCTCAACCGCTGGCCCAACGCCAGCGCTGCCTGCGGTGACAAAAAGCCCCAAAACAGGAGAGATGCCCACACAGAGCCAGCTGCCACC